CCCCAAAACCCCAAAACCCCAAAACCCCATAATGCTAAAAATGCTATAATTTTGTTAAATAAATTTATTTCTATTTCAATCATAACATAAAGTATTTTAGGAATAATAATCATATAGGGATTATTATCATTCATTTTTTTTCCTTTTTCTCACAGTAAACTACTATTTCTAGCACCCTAAATTTCTTGGCACCAGCTAAGTATTCATTTGAAGTCTAATTTCCCAAATTTATGCTTTTTGAAAGTTTGTAAGTATTACCGATGCTACAGTAATTTGTTTTGTTCAAATTGCAATCATCTTCAATGTGAATATCATCCAATCCAAATTAAATGATTTGATTCTAAAAATGACTTACTGCGTGATCAACATGGCTAATATTAAGGGGATGAAGTGTATTCTTGGTTAGTTAAAATACAAAAGCTTTCTTGTCTTTTTATCGCTAGAAATAGTTTTCGGGAGTTTTCCATGGCACTGATGTGTAACCACCAAAAACTTATCCGAATTCACTTAAAATAAACGTAACTGTGGGTCCTTTATTATCGCACTTTTAGTGAAATTTTTATGCTTTAAATCCATCTGTCGAGCCCTTGTAAAGCTACTCCCACTCACCTTCTAATTTATACAATAATTCTTATTATTCATTTTACTGTAATACTTATTATTCATTTTACCGTAATACTTATTTTTCTTTTTACAGTAATTCTTATTTTTCTTTTTACAGTTATTCTTATTTTTCTGAATTCAGTTATTCTTATTTTTCTGAATTCAATTATTCTGTTTTTTAAGATTCCTTTACATATATACCAAGTAATCTATCAAATTCCATTCTAAACTAAGTATTTTCTTCAATCATTTATAATGAAGAGTCTGCCGGATTTTATTATTAAATAGAATTGTTTGCATTTGCATTTGCCTTCGCATTAAGTGCACTATTTACTTCTTTTTGTAAATCAGTAATTAAAATCTGAGTCAAGGACATATTAGATTCTAAAATTTATTCGTTGCCTTTATTTGGCTTGATCACTTAGCATGTTTCGATAACATTTTAGAATTTCAAATGTTTTTCTTTTTCGCCAAACGTTTCAGCTATGTAAGACCTTACTTGCTTCTAAATTTCTTTTAGTTTGTTTTGTAAATCATTAACTTAAGAATGAATTGCATCGTGTATTGATTCATTAGGATTATCATTATAAATCTAAAGAAATTGAAAATACTTTTCTATATCTTTATCTAGTCTTTACTTTATTGAATCTAGTTAAAATTTTATAAGCTTTTTCTAATATTCTAAATATCCGCTTTCATTTGGGTTGATAAGCTTTATAAAATCTTGTCTCAGTTAAGTAATTGATGGCCTACATATTTCATCGAATTATGTCATTTAATCAAAGATTTCTTGGAATTAGGAGTAATTTTAAGGGAATTCGATTTACTATTTCGAAAGTCTAATTGAGCTAACAGATTTACTGCCTTTTTTATCTTTTCCCGTGCATAAATAGTAGAGAATTATGCCTAAAGACCATATATCAACACTTTCATTATAAGGGTCTTAAAGTGTAATCTATGGTGCCATGTAATTCACTTTTCCATAAACAGATTTTGTTTAATTTCCTTAAGCAGCTACTCCAAAATCGGAAATTTTTATAAGGTTATCAGAAAAAACTAGAATATTGTCTGGAGATAAATCTCTGTGTATAAATCCATTTTTGTGAATACAATCTAATCCTTCGAGTAATTATAGCATCATAACGGAAACTTAAGATGGGGCTATATTTCCTTGTTTCTCTCTATAACTAAATAGATTCATTTCTGCCAATTCACTAATTATGATCATTTCTCCTTCTTCAGTTAAGAAGGAGTCTCTTATCTCTACAATATTTGGATGGCAGAGTGCAAATGATGCAATTTCTCTAATTATTCTAAGTAATTCTCTTGAAAAAGCAATTTCTCTATCAGTTTTGGTTCCTGCTTAATTATTAATTTTATTTTACTTTTCCAATAAGTTTTGATACTTGTATGCAACCATTTATTATCTTGGATCATGATTATCCTTAGCTTTTTATACTATTCCTTATGCTCCTTAATCAATATTTTCAATTATTTAATATCTATCTTTTCCATCTCTAATCTTAAAAGCAATAACCTTCTCCATCTTATTTATGAATTTAAAGATATTATTATTTTAATGAATAACTTATATCCCTCATTATCTTTCTATTTAATTCCTATAATCAATATTTATTCAGGCTAATTTATTATTAGCTATAATTTTAATCCAGACATTTTTAATAATGCCAATACCTAAACTATTCAAAAATCTGACTGCTCTCATTAAGAATATGACTCTGTTGATAAAGATAAACATTTAATGATGTTCCATTTTGTTTTTAATTTAAAATTTCTTCTAATTTCGATTTGATTTAACCTTTTGGGGTTTTGGGGTTTTGGGGTTTTGGGG